GCCCCGGGAAGAGCCCTGCCCCGAGCCCGCTGCCGAGCCTGCCGCCGAGGCCAACGGGGTTGTAGAGGAGGTGCCCAAGCCGGTCCCCGAGGCGCCCATGTGCCAGCCGGTGCCGTTGCCCACGCCGGTGCCAGTGCCCACCCAGGACTCCCCCATTGCCCAGCCCGAAGAGCTGCCCCTGCCCAACGGGGTGGAGGGCACCAGCAAAGCAGAGCCGAGCGAGGAGCAGCCCGAGTCTGACGTCAGCCCCATCTCAGAGCCCGAGGAGCCGGCCCAGCCCGGCACCCCTGCTTCCCCCCCAGCAGAGGAGGAGGAGGAGGAGAGCGAAGGCCCCGGTGAGGCCCAGGAGAGGAGCTCGAGCCCGGCCCCTGCCCCTTCACAGACCTCGGAGGCGACCGCGCAAGGTTGGGGACGCTGGGCTGGGACGTGCGGGGCCACGGGGTGCCCCAGGGTGGGTGTTGGGTGATGGGGGGGGGTCAGCTGGGTGCGGTGCTAGGTATGGGGTACGGGGAGGGTGTCGGAGAGGGGGACGGGGTTAGGTGACCCAGGACGCGTGGGTATGGGGTGCTGGGGGACACACAACGTACCTGTGGATGGTGAGATGGGGGGAGACGTCTGGGGCGTGCATGCCTATGCAGGAGTATGGGATGGGTATAGAGGGGTGTACGTGTGGGGTGCCCTGGGTCATGGGGAATGAGGTGCTACGAGGGAAGTGTGTTTTATGTGATGCCTTAAGCGGGGGTGTAGGGCGGGTATTGGGTACATAGGGGTGCCTAGGGGAAAGTGGGATGCCCTAGGGATGTGCTGGGGTGAAGATATGTCTTCTTTTTTTTTTTTTTTTTTTTTTAGCACCCTGCACAGGAGCATGGGGGTTCCATAGGGGTACTGGGGGAGGATGGGGAAGATGGGTACACAGGACATGTTCATACAGAGCACCCTGTGCCAGCATACAGGGGGGCTATAGGAGGGCGACCTGGAGGCAGATGTGCTTCTGGGGAGCACCTCTGTATGGGGTGGTGTGTAGGGGTGCCAGGGAGGGGAGCATATATGCGGGCAGAGGCAGGTACAGGGGTGTCCCTGTACAGGCTGCCCTGCAGAGGGGTGTGGGTATCTGCAGGGATCCCTTGAGGAGGATGGGGAGCACTGCTGGTGAAGAGGTGTGTATGGGGTGCTTCAGAGAGGCACAGGGTAAATTGGGGTGCAGCAGCTGGATGGGGAGAGGTGTGAGGTGCGTCTGTACAGGGTGTATTCTGGGGAGCACGCTTAGGGAGCGGGGTGCCTTGGTGGGCTGTGTGTAGGACCTGCAGGGCTGCAGATGCCCAGGTGGGTGCACGGTGTATTTGGGGATGGGGGCTGTGCTGGGGTGGCAGGACCATGTCCCCGTGGCTCCCCACAGCCCCATCCTGAAGTTTGCCTGGTGTTACTGGGGCCTTACTGGTGGCCCCGGAGCTGGTGTCAGGGTACGTGGGAGACTGGGAGGGTTCCTGTCCTTCACCTCCCTGTCTCTCCTCCCAGTCGCCATGTCGGTGCCAAAGAAGAAGCGAAGGATGAAGGAGCTGAACAAGAAGGAGGCAGTAGGCGATTTGCTGGATGCCTTTAAAGAGGTGAGCATCCCAGGGGTGTCCGGGGGTCACCCCGTGTCCCATCTCCTCCTGTGATGAACTCTGCTTTGTGCCATCGTGTCTGGGCCACTGATGCTCTGTGATGGTAATGAGGATCTGAGGCGGGGTGGACGCCTGGGTGTGGGGAGGAGGGGGCAGGACCAGGCTCATGGGGTGACTGCTGTCCCTGTCCTTCCCAATGCAGTCTCAGATCAGCGACAGTGCCTCAGAGGCGGAGAACAAGCCCCCTGCGTCCGCCCCTGCCCGTGAAGCAGAGGACGTGGCCCCTGCCCGTCCACAGGAAGAGTCAGAGGAGACGTGGGAGGAAAAGGAGGACAAGCTGGCCCCGGAGAAGGGCAAGGCTGCCGACCAGAAGTACCGCTACAAGGAAGGTGAGCCGTGCCTTGGCCCAGGCCTTCCCTGGGAGCCACCACCTCTGGACCCAGCGGTGGGAGGGTGGGGGTGGCACAGTCTAGCTGTCCTAAACCTCACGTTCTCCTCCCATCTTGTCCCCCAGCCTGGCACAGGGTGGGGGACAGAGGCCCCAGCGCAAGGGTCCTGGCAGGAGGCAGGGAGCTGGTGGCATCAGGCTTTCTGTCTAAGCAAGCAGCGTTGTGCTCATGGCGTACCAGGCTGGGGCAGCTCTGTGGTTGTCTACATCCCACCTTGTTGGTTCCTGGGTGGGCCTGGACCTGCCGCAGCTCAGGGTGGAGGATACGGGACAGGCCACATCAGGGTCTCCCTCTTGCCGCCCACTGCAGAGCAATGGAAGCCACTGAACCCCGAGGAGAAGAAACGATATGACCGGGAGTTCTTGCTGGGCTTCCAGTTCATCTTCGCCAGCATGCAGAAACCTGAGGGGCTGCCCCAGATCACGGATGTGGTGCTGGACAAGGTCGGTGCGGCCCTGGAAATTGGGGGAGCATGGGTGGTGACCAGGTGGGGGGTCTGGCTCCTCTTTGTGCCTTGTCAAGGCAGGGCAGGGACTTACCTGCTGTGCTCGGGGTCCTGTTGCAGCATCTGCAACAGGCCTTGAGCCTGGGGTTGGTGGGGGGCACCTTTGGGGCCATCTTTCCAGTTCCTTGTCCCGGCGCTGAGGCTGGGGGATGGATCCGTCCCGCTCCTCTGCCCCCGGGCATCCTCAGCCCTGTGTACCTTCGCAGGCCAACAAGACCCCACTGCGGGCACTCGACCCCATCCGCCTCAGTGGCATGAACTGCAGCCCTGACTTCACCCCCTCCTTTGCCAACCTCGGCCGGCCCGTCATGGGCAACCGGGGCCTGGTGAGTATCTCCTTGCTTCACCCACACCGTCCCCCTCTGCCTCTCTGTGATGATCAAGCCTTCGAGCCGATGTGTCTGGGCCACTGATGTCCGTGATGGAACTGAGGATCTGAGCAGCAGGCGGATGGGGACACCTCGGGAGCCGGCCCAGCTGGTCCCAGAGCAAAGAACTGAGTTTCTTCTCCCCATGTCAGCCCTCAGGGTTGGGTCCCCGCCGCTCCCAGCAGAGCCAGAGGAAGGAACCCCGCAAAATCATTGCCACTGTGTCCCTCAACGAGGATGTCAAGCTGAACAAGGCTGAGAAGGCCTGGAAACCCAGCAGCAAGCGTGCCTCCGAGGAGGAGGATCCTGAGAACATCAAGACGCAGGTGGGAGCTGTGAGGGCGGGGGGGGACGTGCCTGGCTCTCGCTGACCCTGCTGTCCTTGCAGGAACTGCTCCGCCGCGTCCGCAGCATCCTCAACAAGCTGACGCCCCAGATGTTCCAGCAGCTGATGAAGCAGGTGATGGAATTGTCCATCGACACGGAGGAGCGGCTCAAGGGTGTCATCGACCTCGTCTTCGAGAAGGCCATCTCGGAGCCAAACTTCTCTGTTGCCTATGCTAACATGTGCCGTTGCCTTATGGGGGTGAGCAGGAGCTGGGGGGTCTCGCGCCGAGCTGGTAGAGGTTTGTTCGGGGGCCTTGGCTCAGCTCAGCAGGGTGCAGAGCTCTGTGTGGGGTGGGCGTGTGGATGGTGGACCAAGTCCAGAGTCTTAGCAGGGCATCACGAGGCTGCAGGGTGGCTTTTCCCTGGTTTGAGCAGTGCCTGGGCCTTAGCTGGCCAGCTTTTGGGGGAGACACAACTCATGCTCCTTGCTTGGGTTGTACCTCTCCCTGCAGCTCAAAGTGCCCACAACAGACAAGCCCACGGTGACTGTGAACTTCCGCAAGCTGCTGCTCAACCGCTGCCAGAAGGAGTTTGAGAAGGACAAGGACGACGACGAGATCTTTGAGAAGCGGCAGAAGGAGATGGACGATGCCAGTGCTGTGAGTTGGGGTGGGAGGCTGCGGCTGAGGGCTGGCATGGGCTTCTTCGGGGTGGCTCTGGGCTCTGAGCTGCCCTGCTGTGCCCTCCCTGCAGCCCGAGGAGAAGGCGCGCATGAAGGACGAGCTGGAGGAGGCGCGGGACAAGGCCCGCCGGCGATCCCTGGGCAACATCAAGTTCATCGGAGAGCTCTTCAAACTGAAGATGTTGACGGAGGCAATCATGCACGACTGCGTGGTGAAGCTGCTCAAAAACCACGATGAGGAGTCTCTTGAGTGCCTTTGCCGCCTGCTTACCACCATTGGCAAGGACTTGGACTTTGAGAAGGCCAAGGTACCCCTTGCCCTGCTCTGCCTTGCCTTGCCCTGCCCTTGCCTTTAGGAGGGATGTGACTGTGACTCTGTCCCTTTATAGCCTAGGATGGACCAGTACTTCAATCAGATGGAGAAGATCATCAAAGAGAAGAAGACATCATCCCGAATCCGTTTCATGCTGCAGGATGTGATTGACCTCAGACGGGTAAGGCACATGACCTGCTATTGCCCAGGGACTGTCCTCTGTCCTCTGCTTGGTCCCATGGAGCTGCTGACCTGTGTCCTCTGAGTGCCAGCAGTCCATGTGGCCCCGGGAGGGGAGAGGTGGGTGTGTAAGCTGTGGCCAGCCCCAGAGACACCATGCTAGCCCCCAGCCCTTGGTTAGCATGGTAGTGATAGTGGGCACACAGTAACTGGCGGCTGTTTAATGCAGGGGGGCTCCAGAAACTGAGCCCTTTTGTGCCAAAAGCTGCCACAGCACATGGGGAGCTGTGACGGCTGAGGCAGGAGACCGGCCTGAGGCTTTGAGGGTGGGGTGGCTGGGAAGGGGGAATGTCTCTGCCTCCATCCTCCAGCCAGCTCAGTGCCCTCTTCCATCCTTCCCTGCCCTCTGCAGAATAGCTGGGTGCCGCGGCGAGGAGACCAGGGCCCCAAAACCATTGACCAGATCCACAAGGAAGCAGAGATGGAGGAGCATCGGGAACACATCAAAGTGCAGCAGCTCATGTCGAAGGACAAGAGGAGAGGACCCCCTGGGCCATCCTCCAGCAGTGAGTGCCCAGGCTCGGGGGCACCTGAGGTTGCCAAGGGTGGGTTGCTCCTGCTGAGCACCGCTTGAGGCCTGCCTGTGCCTTATGTCTGTCCCCCTTGTGCCCAGGTGGTCGCGGGAGCCTGGTCGCAGATGATGGCTGGAACACGGTGCCCATCAGCAAGGGCAACCGGCCCATCGACACCAGCCGGCTAACGAAGATCACCAAGGTGAGGCTGGGGGTGCAGTGTGGGCAGCTGAACTGGCTGCCTGACTCGGATCTTGCCTTGGTGTGAGGTTCAGAACTGACTCCGTCTCTACACCTGCAGCCTGGATCCATCGACTCCAACAACCAGCTCTTTGCGCCAGGCGGGCGGCTAAGCTGGGGCAAAGGCAGCAGTGGAGGGTCTGGCACGAAGCCTGCAGATTCAGGTAGGCAGTGTGGGGCTGGCTGGGTGCTGTTGGATGGGGCAGGAGGGGGTATCCTTCCCCTGGCGGTTCCTGTACCGGGGAGGTGCCGAACTCTGAGACTCCCCTCTTTTCACACCCAGCATCTGATTCAGGGCGACCAGCCACGAGCACCTTGAACCGCTTCTCAGCGCTCCAGCAGTCGACCCCTGCCGAGAGCCTGGAGTCCCGCCGCGTGGTGCAGAGGTGAGGGGCCAGCCCTGCCTTGGCGTGTGGGCGTGTTGGTCTGCAGCCCAGGGAGGAACCCCCCAAATAGGGCAGTGGTTTGCCTACGTATTGACCGACGTATGGCATCTGGGCTGGAATAATCCCCTGTGGCGGGATGGGGTCTTGGGGGGGCTCAGAGTCAGTTGTGAGTCCTTGTGGCAAAGAAGGCTGACCCCACCCTGGGCTTCCTCCCTGCTCTTTGGCACTTAGGGGACCACACCTGGGTGTTGGGTCCGGTCTGGGGGTCCTGGGACCAGATGGACATTGATGGGCTGGAGGGAGTCCTGTGGAGGCTGGAGCACGAGATTCCCAGGGAGAGTCAGAGTCGGGTTTGTTCAGGAGAAGAGGAAAACAAAGGGGGATCTCGCCACAGTCTGCTGCAGGGGAAAGGTGTGGGCAGGATGGGGCCAGGCTCTGCTCAGCCATGCCAAGGGACAGAGTCGAAGGGCAAAGGGAATGAGCTGGAACAGGGGAGAAACAGGGAAAAGTGTTTTCCCCTGAGGGTGGTCAGTGACCCTGGAAAGGGCTGGGATTGGAATGGGACAGCCTTGCCTCACAGAGCTCTGTAGGCTGGGGTCAGGGAGGGTGGCGATGGGCTGTTCACGCTGTGTCTGTTGTCCTCCCACCCAGGAGCAGCTCCAGCCGTGACAGGTCAGAGAAGGCTGGGGACAGAGGGGACCGCGAGTCACGTTCGGAGAAGGGCAGCGACCGGCTGGAGCGTCCTGACCGGGGGGAGCGGGCAGACAGGAACAGGTCTGCCCTCACCAAGAGGAGCTTCAGCAAAGAGACAGAGGACAGGAGCCGAGAACGGGAGAAGCAGGGCGGCCCCGAGGCCGTGCGCAAGGCTGCTAGCATGACGGAGGAACGGGACAGGAGCCGAGAGACCAGTGAGCTGGGGAGAGGAGCGGTGTCCTGGGGGTCTGGCTGTGGCCTGTGGCTCTGCCTGTCCAGGCAGTGCCTGATCCTTGCTCTCTCCTCACAGTTAAGCAAGAGCCAGCACCTCCTGCAGCATCCCCCAAGCCCGCGCTGTCAGAAGAGGAGCTGGAGAAGAAATCCAAGGCGATCATAGAGGAATACCTGCACATCAATGACATGAAGGTGAGAGGAGGGGGTGGCCAGGCACAGCACCATATGGCTGCCATAATATGCCGTCCGCTTTCCTGGGCGGCAGCGCTCTTAGGCAGGGTGCCGGCGGTGCCTGGATGAGAAAGGGGGGAGCCGGGGCTGGCCGTGGGGCAGTACTGACCCGCCTTTTCCCTGCAGGAGGCCCTGCAGTGCGTGCAGGAGCTGGGAAGCCCCTCCTCGCTCTACATCTTCGTGCAGAATGGCATCGAGTCCACACTGGAGAGGAGCACCATCTCCCGCGAGCACATGGGGGTCCTGCTGTGCCAGCTGGTGAAGGCGGGCACGCTCTCCAAGGAGCAGTACTACAAAGGGTGAGGAGGGGCTGGGCCAGCCTGGCCCCGAGCTGGTATTTGCTTGGCTTTGAATTTGGCCCTGCCTTGAGCAGGGCTCATCACTGAGACCTCCCGAGGTCTCTCCCAGCTGAGGGCACAGGGGCTGCTGGATCCCAACGGCCCCACTCTGTCCTGCAGGCTGCGGGAGATCCTGGAGGTTGCAGAAGACATGGAGATTGATATCCCCCACATCTGGCTGTACTTGGCCGAGCTTATCACCCCCATCCTGCAAGAGGAAGGCATCCCCATGGAGGAGCTCTTCAGGTGAGGGCCGTGCCCCTCCGTGGGGCTGCCACGGGGACCTGGGAGGGGGGGCTCCTGGGGGCAGGTAACTCAACCAGGTCTCTGGTGCCCTGCAGGGAGATAACGAAGCCCCTGGTGCCCATTGGGAAGGCCACCACGCTTCTGGTCAAGGTGCTGGGCTTGTTGTGCAAGGGCATGGTAAGTGCACGGGGCTCGCCTAGCTGCCAGCTGCTGCCTCGGGGACTGGCAGCCTGCTTGGAGGGGCAGGCTGACATGCAGGGATTGAACCCCTCTGCTACCAGAGGGGATGGCAGGGGGCATCCCTTGCCATGTCTGGGTTGTGGGGGTGGCATGGCCAAGCTGCGCTATCCCCCTCCCTGGAGATGGAGGGCCTGGGGTGCTGATGCCGACTGTCTGTCTGTCCTGCAGAGCCAGAAGACCGCAGGCAAGCTATGGCGGGACGGGGGCCTGAGCTGGAAGGAATTCCTGCCTGAGGACCAGGATGTCAACAAATTTGTCACAGAGCAGGTGGGAGCTCAGTGACGGTGAGGGGCAGAGACAGGCAGTGGGGGTCCCTGGGGGTCCTGCTGCCGGGAGCATGGTGTTCCCCCATGCTGCCTTTAACAGCTCATCTCTGCCCGCTCCCCCAGAAATTGGAGTACACAATGGGGGACAGTTTGGACACGCCAAGCCGCAAGGAGCTGACCTCAGAGGAGCTGTGCAAGCAAATGGACAAACTGCTGAAGGAGAACCCGAACAACCAAAGAATATACGACTGGATCGAGGTGAGGGTGTGGGCGCAGCCACCGCAGGTCTGGGGGCTCCCTCCCAGCTCCCTCCCCACCTCATAACCCCCCAACCTTTCCTCCAGGCCAACCTGAGTGAGCAGCAGGTCTCGTCCAACACGTTTATCAGGGCCCTGATGACGTCCGTGTGCCACTCAGCCATCGTCTGTGAGTACCAGGGTGAGGCGGCGGAGGTCTCCCTGCCCACGCTGCCCCCCTCTCACACACCGTCTCCTGCAGTCGAGAACCCCTACCGCGTGGACGCCCTGGTCATCCGCAACCAAGCCAAGCTGCTGCAGAAGTACCTGCGGGATGAGCAGAAGGAGCTCCAGGCGCTCTATGCCCTGCAAGCCTTGGTGGTGAAGTTGGACCAGCCTCCCAGTGAGTGTTGCGGGAACGGGTGGGCTGAGGAGGGGGGTGGCAGGCGCGTCCCCACCCCAGCAGGGCGGCTGGTGGCTGGGGAATGGCAGGGGGCCCCCCTTTGTCCCCCCCCAGACCTGCTGCGGATGTTCTTTGATGCCCTCTACGATGAGGACGTCATCAAGGAGGAGGCTTTCTACAAGTGGGAGTCCAGCAAGGACCCGGCCGAGCAGCAGGGCAAAGGGGTGGCTCTCAAATCGGTGACAGCCTTTTTCACCTGGCTCCGGGAAGCCGAGGATGAGTCGGACAACAACTGAGCAGCCGTGAGGAGGAGGAGGGGGAAGGGGAAGGGGGGGAGAGAGAGCGGGGCACCCTGGGGAGCATCTCTGTCCCCTCCCCCCCCCCCCCCCCCCCCCCCCCCCGGCCCCTCTGGACTTGCTGATGCTGGGGCCGAGGGACCTGCTGTGCCCCCCACAGCCCCCCTCTCTCTTTTCAATTCTCCTCTCCCCTCCTCCCCCTGTCCCGGTTCTGTTTGCAAGGCCTGTACTAGTTCGTCATGATGATAATAAAAAGATGCTGACGGAGGTGGCGGTCGCGGTGGGTCCCCTTGGGGCCCCCCCCTGCCCCCTCCCAGCGCAGGCACAACAGGTCTGCAGGAGCAGGGCAGAGCACCTCCGGACTCATGTCATGGGGAGGGGGGACGGGATGGGGACATGTCTCTCCCCTCCTCTTCCTCCTCCTACTTCTTGCTGAAATATAGAGATTATATATATATAAACTTATTAATTTGGTTTGGGGACAGGAGCGTGATTTCTTTCTCTCCCCTGTCCTCTCTCTGTTCCTCCATCACTGCCTGGACCCCCACTCTATGGTTTTTTATTTTAAATATAAATCATTCCCCCCCAGCTCCTGCTCTGACACCTGGGGAGGGTGCTGGGGAGGAGAGGGGGTGACCCCTCTCTCTGGGCCAGGCTGAGTCCCCTCCTCCCCCCGCCCGAAGTCCCCATCGTCCTCCCAAACGTTTAAGGCCACAATTGGGCAAGCGACGGGGCGGCCCCCCCATCCGCGTCCCCTGTATTTATAGAGCGCCGGATGTGACGAGCCGCACGTGTAATTATTAAAGGAAAGATTCAATTACTGGTCACGTGAATTTGTAAATAATTTTTTTTTGCTTTTTTTTTTTCTTTATGGAGTATTTAATTGAAGATTTAAAGGCATCTTTTCACCTTAAAACTGGAAATAAAAGAACATTGCTAAATAACGCCCCGTGTGCCGCTGTAAGGCAGACGGTAGGTACCCCCGGCCCCGGGGCTGGGAGGGGGGCAAGGGGGTCGGATGTGCCTGGGACCCCGCCTCGCCAGCTCTGCCTGGCACAGGGTGTCCCGTGGTGGAGTGGGCAGCCCCGCCAGCACCCCGGCTGTCCCCCAGCGCTCCTTTTCCTGTGGGCACAGAAGTGGCAGGACCTGCGTGGTCTGCTTGGTCTCTGCCTTGGGGCAGGAGATGGGTCCCCCTCAACCTTCTCTTTTGGGAGGACCCTTCTTGTCTTGCAGGTGGGGTGGAGATGGGGGCAGGCCCGGGCTGCCCCCAGCCCTGCCGGGGGTCCCTGTTGGGGGACGGAGGCGAGGGTGGGCTGGTCCCCCCCTCGGGGCCAGGCTGGTCTTTGGTGCGTTGGGCCGCCTCTTGCTGAGTCACCCTGGCCATGGCCCAGAGGGTACAGAATAATTAACTGGAGGCTGTTCCCCAGATTAGAGGCTGATCTGTCTGAGCTGCAACCCTGGCAGCACTGATGCTGGGAAGCAGTTGGCAGGGAAAGGCTGGCAGGGCCTGGCAGGGGGTACTGGCTGGGAGCTCCCCCTGTCTGGGAGTGAGTAAAGAGGGAAGCCCTTGGGCTGCTCTGGTACCCTGCTTGTCAAAGGGGAGGGTGGCACCCTGGCAGTGCCCTCCTGTGCCACTCTCTGCCAGGGAAAGGGTACCACAGCGTTAATTGCCATCAGTAGGTTTCAGAATGAACAGACATCTTTGGCTGCAGGTCAGCCTGTCAGCCTGGCATCCGTGCTGGCCTGGATCTCCTGCAGGGGAGGTCGCTGTGGTGCTGTGAGATGTCCCAATGCCTGCACACACACCCCCCCCCCCCACCGCCCCAAACCCAGCTCCAGCGAGGCGGACCCCCAGCCCCCTGTCCCCGGCCGTGGGCTCCCTCCTACACCAGCGGCCCCTCGGCGCGGGGGGGGGGCAGGGAGGGCC